GGAATGACAATAAGTAAAAGGACAAAGATGATGCAAATGATATAATTGTGGAGATTCGATCCAAGAAAGACATTTTCAGTATATTGATTGACTTATAGTGCAATCCAACACTTCACAATGCTTCTGGTGACTTAAAAATGGAGCACCGCTCCTTATACAATATTGAGTTTTACGGGATTTCAATATGACCTACATTATTGAGCTTTATGAGATCTCAATATGATCCACAAATATAACAAAATGATTTTACAATAAAACTCATCTCTTGATAAATGATACAAATGAATTAAGTAATAAGAGAGGCTAATACTTCAATGAATAAAAACAAATAATAGCTCAAGTGTTTGACGAAAAACTTTGATGAATCTGATAATTAAAAATTAGATTCAATCACTCAAATTTTTTCAATGAGAAGATGAAGAAGAATTAAACGTAATTTAAGTTAAAAAAAATATTCTCACATATTTCTCTCTTTTAATAATTGATATGAACAAATTAAGTTTTAAGAAGGAGATGAGAAACTTTGATAAATATGATAATCAAAAGGTTGATTCAATCAATCAAAATTTACAATATGAAGAAGTGGAAAGAATAGAAGCAATGTAAGTTCACAACTTTTCTTCAAAATATATATTTTATATGAATGACAGAAATAAGTTAGATACAAATGGAGCTATGAAATACTTTGATGAAGATGATGATAAGAGTTTGAATCAATCAAAATTTTTGATATGAAGAAATAAATTAAATGAATGCAATGTAGACTTAAAGAAGTGTCTCAAAGTATATCTCACTTAATGCATTGGAAACTCATTAAAGAATGGAAAAAATAAGGGTATTTATATTTATAGAACTCAAAAAGCAAAACACTATGTTAAACCAGACAACCAACCGAATTTCATCCTTGGATCCGGACGATCAAAATAGCCGTTATGCATTTGAAATCATAACGGTCAAGTTGCATCAATAGAACGTTCATATGAACCAACAGAACATATGCTAAAGTGTTGCACAACATCATGTTCCTGCGCAATACAGCCAAATAAAGCATTAAAATCAAGTAATTGGAACAAGTGTTACTTAACTCTAACATCTAATAAACCACTAACATATCAAAAATCTAAGGGGAAACGGGATATG